GCTCAGGCCATCCACTCACCTCAGCCTCCCAAAGGCACGGGATTACAGGCTGAGCCACCGAGCCCGGCTAGTCCTGTCTTTCACAGCATTATCATGGTTCACAACTATGTGTTTGTGTGATTATTCAGTTGTAAGTTACCTGAGAGCAGCTGCTTTGCTCCCAAGGACATACGTCACCTTTGCTTCACAGTTGGTTTTCAATAAATGCTGGCTGATTAAGTGAACAAACAAGCAGGGCATGGTGGCTCACACCTGTTATTCCAGCACTTTGGGAGGCTGAGGCAAGAGGATGGCCTGAGCCCAGGGGTTCAAGAAGAGCTTGGGCGATTTGGTGAGATCTTGTCTCTACAATAAATCAAAAAACTGTCCAGGTGTGGTGGTGCACAGCTGTAGTTCCAACTACTTGGAAGACTGAGAAGGAAGAGTTGCCTTAGCTGCAGGGGTCATAAGTGTGCCACTGCACTCCAGCCTGGGAGACAGATTGAGACTCCAACTCAAATAAATAAATAAATAAATAAATAAGTGAACAAACAAATGCACAGATGAATGAACAAGCCCCTGGAGAGAAGAAGGGGGAATAGGAAAGTTCCCAAAATTCTGTGAAAATAATCAGAAATGATTCACAGCATGAGAAGTTATGGCTGGGTTCAGCGGCTCAGCCTGTAATCCCAGCACTTTGGGAAACCGAGGCAAATGGACTGCCTGAGCCCGCGGGTTTGAGACCAGCCTGGGAAAATTTGTAAGAGCTTGTCTCTACAATAAATTTTAAAAAAAATTAGCAGGGTGTGGTAGCGTGCGTCTGTAGTTCCAGCTACTTGGAAGACTGAGGCAGAAGGATCACCTGAGCCCAGCAGGTCACAGCCGGGGAGGCCGTGAGCGAGCCACTCACTCCAGCCTGGGCAATGGAGTGCTCCAATTAAAAAAACAAACAAGCTGGAGGCTGCGGTGGCCGGGAGCGGCCACTGCACTCCAGTCTGGGCGACAGAGTAAGACTCCAACTCAAAAAAATAAAAAATAAAATAAAAAAATAAAAAAACAAACAAAACAGACAAATAAACAAGCCGGGCTCTGTGGCTCAGCCTGTAATCCCAGAGCTTTGGGAGGCTGAGGTGAGTGGATTGCCTGAACCAGCGGGTTCGAGACCCACCTGGGCAACTAGGCGAGACATCATCTCTACAATAAATCAAAAAATCAGCCGGGCATGGTAGCGTGCACCTGTAGTTCCAGCTACTTGGAAGGCCGAGGTGGAAGGATTGCCGGAGCCCAGCAGGTCGAGGCTGCGGTGGCCAGGAGCAGCCACTGTACTCCAATCTGGGCGACTGAGTGAGGCTCCAACTCAAAAAATAAAATAAAATAAAATAAAAACAAAAAAAAGAATGAGGAGTTATGGCACATGCCTGCAGTCTCAGCTACTTGGGAGGGTGAGACAAGATGGTCACTGGAGCCCAGGAGTTTGAGACTGCAGTGTGATGTAATTGTGTCCATGAACAGCCACTGTACTCCAGCCTGGGCAACAAGTGAGACCCAATCTAAAAAAACAGAGAAAGAGAAAGAGAAAGGAAGAGAGGGAGGGAGGGAGGGAAGGAGAGGAGAGAGAGAGAGAGAGAGAGAGAGAAAGGGAGTCTTGATGGCTCCTTTTTTTTTTTTTTTTTTGAATTGGAGTCTCACTCGGTTGCCCAGACTGGAGTGCAGTGGCCGCTCCCGGCCCCCGCAGCCTCGACCAGCGGGGCTTTGGCGATCCTTCCGCCTCAGCCTTCCAAGTAGCCAGAACTACAGGCACGCGCTACCACGCGCCCGGCTGATTTTTTGATTTATTGTAGAGATGAGGTCTCGCTGCCCAGATGGGTCTCGAACCCGTGGGTTCAGGCAATCCACTCACCTCAGCCTCCCAAAGGCGTGGGATTACAGGCTGAGCCACCGAGCCCGGCTGATGGCTCCCTTTTAGAGTTAATCCAAGAGCCTAGGAAAGGGAAGCAATGGTAGAGGAGGACAACAAATGTTTTCACTTCACAAACACTGTCTGAACGTTTATTATGTGTCAGGTACAAAGCAAAAAAACCGTGAAAAGATACTGTTCCTTACCCAGGGAATTAACATGGGACTTAGTGGAGAGACCCATCCCCCCACAAATGTGAACAATTAAAGACAAAATGTTATAAGTGCTGTAAATAATGGGAGAGAAGTGGACACAGGAGCCCTTCTTTGGTTTGGGTGGGCCTCACAGAGTGAGGGTTGAGGAGAAGAGGCTTCCCCACCCTAACTGTACCAGCTCAGGGAGTCTTGGGAGCCCAACTTTGTATTATAGGAAGAGGAGTGGACTGGGAACCAAACTGCTGCACATTAGAATCATCTAAGGGGGCCAGGTGTAATAGCTCAAGGCTCAAACCTGTAATCCCAGCACTTGGGGAGGCTGAGGTGAGAGGATTGCCTGAGCTCATGGGTTCAAGACCAGCCTGGGCAATTTGGCGAGACCTCGTCTCTACAATAAATCACAAGAAAAATTAGTTGGGTATGGTAGCACCCACCTGTAGTTCCAGCTATTTGGAAGGCTGAGGCAGAAGGATCTCCTGAGCCCAGCAGGTCGAGGCTGCAGTGGCTGTGAGCGTGCCCCTGCACTACTCCAGTCTGGGTGATAGAGTGAGACTCCCACTCAAAAAAAAAAGAATGATCTAACGGACTTTAAAACATCCTGATAACCAGGTCATACCCAATACTATTCATCAGAACGAATGGTGGGAGCTGGGCATTCGTATTTTTTAAAGGCCCCTTGGAGATTCCAGTGTACAGCAAAATTTGGGAATTACTAATATTAATTTTTTTATTGTGGTGAATATATATAAGATGTACTATTTTAACTCTTTATTTTTATTTTAGCAGGAGTCTCACTCTATCACCTAGGCTGGACTGCAGTAGCACGCTCATGGCCATTGCAGCTTCGACCAGCTGGGCTCAGGTGATCCTCCCATCTCAGCCTTCTAAGTTGCTGGAACCACAGGCACATTCCACCACACCTGGCTAATTTTTTTTTTTTTGAGTTGGAGTCTCACTCTGTCGCCCAGACTGGAGTCCAGTAGTCACTCCCAGCCACCACAGCCTTGACTTGCTGGG